TAAACTCTGTTGAACTTTTACCCCATTTCCGTGTGTGTTCTGCATTTTGGGCTTAATTCAGATACCCATCATGACACATACTGATGTGCCGTGCTTCCCTATCTCGAATATATTTGATGCACAGCGTGCTCCAATTGACTGTTATAGCCTATATGGAACGAAGATGCCGCCACTGGAAAAAAAAAATCATTTTTTCTTAAAATAACTGCATTTGTTCTTAAATTGAGGAGGTGAGATACTTTGTGAATGTAATAAGCCAATTTACATTTAAAATAAGAAAAAAACTATTTAATTGTCTTTCAAGTGTAATAAACAATTACTTTATTTTAGGAGTAAAAATCCTCATTCCATTGGCAAATCATGTTATTATACCTACTATACCTACTCAAATTAAGGGTAAATACCCTGCATACCCTGGATCACAGGATTTCTGTTTTGATTTACAAAAATTAGACCCAATCAACTGTCCATTCATCGGTTAAGAGGGCGCTTTCCAATGATGCACCATGCCATGCAGCCACCACAGTTGCTTCTGATCAACTGCAGCGGCAGGCTCAGACAGATGAACTCATTCTGATCTCTCCAGGTTTAAATTGCTTATATGCTCCAGACATTAAGAGAAAGTCAGACAGAGATCTAACCAGCATGCACTGCACACAGACGAACAATCACTGGATCAACTGCTGGGGAAGCAGGAAGGTAGCCATCATGGAGGGACCCTTCTCCCCAGTCTATTGCCTTTTACTGATGGAGTATAGTTACCTGGCCAGTGATAGATTCCTAAATTAAATTAATTTATATAGATTTAGCTTTGTTAGGAACAGCAAAGATATAATTATGATACAGGACGCTGTCACATATAAAAATGCTTTTATAATGAACTGGAACATCAAAATGAAGTATTATTGTTGTACAAACTGAGCTCAGCTGAGTGTGGCAGCAGTAGAAAGCAGTGGCGTTTACAGCCAACGTATTTTACATGTATAACAACTGTTATATGAAATATAAACTAAAAATGTCCTCTCAGAAATTCTCATGTTCACTGAAGCACAATGAAGAAAAACTGCAATAAAAGCTTTGAACTGATACTTTAGTATCAGTGGATCTTAAACCAAACTGCCCGCTTCCTGTAAACAAGTTTAATAAATGCGGAGCTGATATGACACATTTCATTTCTCTATTAGGCTAAAGTTGCGTCAGAGGTGTTGCTGTTGAAACCGCTGAGATTACAATCATCCTCTTTCTTCCGTTTAGTCCTAACAGCAGGATGGGTCAACGTATCTTCATCATGTCTGATCTGCAGCACACAAACCACAAACTGTTTCAGTTTCATCTAAAGACTTTCCACTGGTCTGTGGTTGTTTAACATGTTTTCAAACCATGAGAAAAAACAGTTTAATGGTTCATGATGTTGTAATAAATAATGTGCCTCAGTAAATATATTGAGCATTTTCTGAACAAGGCATCAAACTGAATAATGTTGAGAAAAAACATATTATATCAATATTATTATATTAACTAACTCAGTCTTCAACCTGCAGCATAGATAAAGTTAGTTTTGGTCATTGGTATGACCGAGTCAATTAAAAATTTATTTAAAATGGGACAGTTATAAATCTGCGAAGCTTGATGAGTTCTTACTTATTTCTCAGAGAATTTAGGGGAATTAAAAGCCTTAACAGAGGCATAGCTCAAGCTGAACTGCTCCTCATTATGAGAACAAATGGACAGTAAGAATTTATGCACCCTTACAGAGACCACTGGCATGGAAATAGTTTTAGCCCAGCATTGTAATGGTTTTGGTTCTGTTTTATCTAGTTTTATCTTTAGGTTTTCATTGGTTTTATTTCCATTTTGTGTTATTCTAGTTCATTTTGATTGTATTTGAGTTCTTAGGATCTATTTGCTGCAAAAGTATTCATCAGGTTTGACTTTTTTCACTTCACTTCTCGCAAACTGTCA